CCTTACATCTACTCACACCCACACCCACCCACATCTACACCCACACCCCTACACCCAACCACGCCCCATACTCCTACACACACCTCCACCCCACCCACACCCCTACACCCATCCACAGCCTACACCCACACCCACACCGCACACCAAACCGAACGTGTGCTTTTCGTACCCTATGAATCATCCGTAGAGACCAAACAAGAGTTACATTTTCTACCTATTTTCTTTTTATTCTTTTCTGAGAAAGAGATGACGTCTTTGTGTAAAGTGCACTCGAAAAGCTGTTACTACTTGTCAAGAATAGCCCGATAAGCAGTCAACGAATGTTGTATTTGGTTTGATATCAATAGGACCCCATTTCTCTCACATAAACAGTAAAATAAATACCAAAGAGAAGTGAAGCTGATTCAATATTTGCTAAAAAAGATGCAATGGTATGGGTATGGATGTCGATATGGGTGGGGTGTGGATATCTGGGATGGTGATGTGGATGTGGGCGCGGGCGTAGGTGTGAGTGAGAAAGTACGAAGAGCGCGTGTGGGATGTGGGTGGGGTATAGATGTGGACGTTTGGGTGTCGATGAGTGTTCCACACTCCCACATCCACATCCACATCGTTATCCGCCTGTAATAGTCGATATGGAAAATGTACGCGTTGAAAACCTAATCTTTATGGTCAGAGTACGTATATCTAGTTTAATTTTATGCTAATAAAGCTATGTTATCTTTCTTAATGTCGTAACCTTTCAAGTTTGATTTAAATTATTTAGATCGAGAACCAGAATAGATCAATGGATCGAATAATTAAGTTGATAAGTGGGATAAGAATTATGCTCATAGGCCATGTTCAGGGTGAGGGTATGCTGGGATCGGTGTGGATGCTAGTAAAGAGAAGATCCACGTGTAACCTCTCACCCACGCACACACTGTAGTCTAATAGATAAGTGACGCAAACCAGTGGAGATATTTTATTCTTAGTTGGAAAAAGCCAGATGCTCACCTGAACTTATCTGATATAAAACGTTTTGAGATGTTATTGAAATATCATTCTATCACAGCCTATCATGCTTTCATCCTTCCTTGTGTTTCTCATTGTCGCAACTGCTCAAGTGGAAGCGGTCCAGCCACGGATCTACACGAATCCACTGAATGGTAAGACTGTCGACCTTTGGTTACTCGCCGATGAAACAAATAGTCATCTTTCACTACTTCAATTCGGGCAAATGAAAATTGCCTTAAACAACATTGCCACTGAACTTACCCCAGCAGGCTCAAGCCCCTTCATTCGGATTTTTTTCTATGGCGCTACATCTGTCGTTGACCAAGTTGTCTCCGCCCCGACTACCTCCGCATCCGCAATCAAATCAAGTCTGAGCCTAAAACAATACGCACCCTCCCAATCAAGTCCGTCAACTCTAATCTCAGCTTTGAATGCTGTCAATGCATCATGTTGGTCAAGTTGTCGCACCAGGTCACGAGTCACTGTTGTGCTTTCAACTGCCCCCGATGCTTCTGCCGAAGCTCGCATTCGTCAGCTAGAGAACGAACATTTGATGACTATCATCATTGTTGGCATTGGAAGTAACCAGGTCATCTTAAACTCACTTGCCTCGCACCCAAGTCGAGTCTATACTGTTCCATTCAATAGCTTCACTGAACTAATAGTTTCTGCTCCACTTCTCAGCTCCCTTGTTGCCTCCGCTCCTCCTTATGACTACATCGGTGGTGTACGGAATTTTGGGAATACAGTATCAGGCGTCTACTATACTTTGCAGCTTGTCAGCCTTGGTTATACCACTACAAATGACTCGGTCATTGTGTTTACATCTAACTGTCCTGCATGCCCTATATACGCCTCCATATCCGAACCGAACCCAACAAATGCCAACTCAGCTTTAATCAGTTATGTTTATTCGTTTTATCCCTCTGGATACGCTATGTTTTATCTTCGCGTACCTAAATATACCAAGCGAGTGTTTTTAAGCTTAATGGGAAATGGACAAGCTTCTGTTACAGGTTCATTCAATGCTTTCTTTTTGCCAGCAATGCTGCAGAACACCGTGAAACATGATTTATCACCAGATCTAATACAATCGATCGGTTGAGTGTGTCACAATCGATAGACAGTTACCTAGTGTGGGCATTCTCATCGAATGTATCGTGTGAGTTTTAGTTAGAAAAAGAATGTAAATAAAAATCAGTCTTTTCATTATCTTTCAAAAATTGTTGAGATCGTTTGTGAAAGAACTCGATCTCGATACTCAGTCAGAATGGCGAGTTGGAACATCTGATTCAATTTCCTCTTCTATAATCTATGAAATTGATCAGTGAAGCAACACGACAAATGTTTGAGTACGCCGATCAATGGTGAACAATGTCGGTTGATTCTTTGAAATCATAGTAAATCTTGTTCATTGAGTGACATAAGCACGATGGATCAGTGATGTCAAACAATTGACAAATAAAGACAAACTCGAGAGTGGCTGCGTTGGATCGGGAACGAGCGAGAATCAACTTTGATTATAAGCCAAACTTGACAATCTTGTCTGCGACGTTTCGATTTTGAGGAAACGATCCGCCCGGATGTGGGGTGGGGGTCTGAGGCTGGGTCGGGGCGGGACGGGGTGGGTGGGGTGTGGGTCTGAGTCTGGATCGGTGCGGTGCGGGACTGGGTGTGGATGTCGGTGGGTGTGTGTGGTATGGAGTGTGGGTGGGCGGGTGTGTGTGGGTGGGGTATGTGGTATGAGGTGTGAGCGGGCGTGGGTGGGTGTGGCTGGGGTGTGTGATATGGGGTGTGGATGTGGGTAGGTGTGTGTGGGTGGGGTGTGTGGTATGGAGTGTGGGTGGGCATGGGTGGGTGTGGATGTAGGTGGGTGGGGTGTGTGGTATGGAGTGTGGGTGGGCATGGGTGGGTGTGGATGTAGGTGGGTGGGGTGTGTGGTATGGGGTGTGGGTGGGTGGGGTGTGTGGTATGGGGTGTGGATGGGTGGGGTGTGGGTGCGCAGAAGGATCACCCACACCCGCACCACCCACACCCACACCCACACCCACACCACCACACCCACCCATACCCACCCACACCGACACCCACCCCACACCAACACCCACACCTACACCCGCACCACCCACACCCACACCCACACCACCACACCCACCCATACCCACACACCCACCCACACCGACACCCACCCCACACCAACACCCACACCTACACCCACACCCACACCGACACCCACACCCACACCCCACACCCTTGTTTCAAGCGATGATACCACTTCTAATGTGTACTTCTGTTTGCATTTATGAAATTCTTATTCATTAAAGCTAGTTCAAGAAGACTTGTTTGAAAATAAACATGAATGTTACAGAAAAAAGTCTGTGTTAGAATACATAATGAAATAAAAATTTTATATATAGATTAGTCTTAATAACTGTTATCTGTTCATCTGTAGTTTTGTTTTCTGTATAAAATCATATGTTTATTTTTTTCTTTTCAAACACTGCTGTTAACCCAAAATGATCTGATGGAAACACAGGTAAGTGTTTTTGATTACCGATACTTTGATTTCCTATAATTTGAATATCAGTAGGAATAATTGTTTGACTTGAGAAAATAATTCGATCATATCTTGATTGATTTGATGCTTTACAATGAAGTTTTGTCATTGAATTTATTTCTGTATCAAAAGTGTAGCCATGATTATCGGAACCCATTACATAAGTCCAAATATCAATCCATTCTGGTAATCTATTAAACTGATCGAGATTTTCTTGACCATTTCCATTAAAATTAAAATCTCCCATTAAAATATAACTACCTGGAGAATGATGAAATTCTTTTTGACATATATCTAATTGACATGATCGTTGTTCTTTATTATTCAAAGATTCTAAATGAACAGTACCAATACGAATAGTTTCGTCTTGATCTAATTTTATTTCTGCAAGTATTAAACGACGACCCATTGTTGATTGAGGAAAATCAATCAAATTTATATCAGAAATATGAAGTCGAATATCAATTAATAAAACAACACCATACCAAGTATTGAATGTACGACCATCGACATCAGATAAATAATATCGTTCTTGAACAAATGATTGAGCTGAAAGTTGTTGAAGAGTATTTTTTGTCACTATTTATATATATATATATGAAAATCAAAGATATTTCTTTTATTAGAATAAGGATAAGAAAAGACAACAAACTTTCTTGTAAACCAATTATTTGAGCTTGAGATTTGTTTAATATATCACAGAGACTTTTAAAACGCATCGGTTGATATTCACCGGAAAACCAAACATTATATGTAACAACACGAAATTTCTCCAAATGTATTGTTGAGTTATTTTGATCAGGTTGTTTTTGTGACCATCTTTTTTTTTCTCTATTATATTTCCATAATGGAATCGAGAATTCTTCTTCTTGCAAGTTATTATCTAGATGAGTAGATTTTTGACCCATTAAAATTGAACAAATTACGATGCTTTGCTTCTTTTTTTT